TTTATAAACATGGGTTATATAATTTTATCTCTCTCCCTAGGGAGGGAGAGGTTGCAGTATAAGCCTTAATTCAAAGGCTTATACATAGTAACTGTTTTAACTATTTCAGCAATGCATTGTAGCAGAGACTGCTAATTGTCCCCCCATATCCATTCTCCCCTTTTTTCTTTGGTAACACAACTCCTGATGTTAGTGGGCACAGGGCCACTGTGCTGATGGCTGTATTTCCCAGCCTTTGATATAGCTATAAGGGGCCATATGACTATCTTTGAGCAGTAGGATATGAGTGGAAGTTCTTTGTGCAACTTCTAGGCCATGCCCCCAAGAGGAAAAGGTGAGACCATCACTTCTCCTCGTACCATTCGCAATGGCTGGAATACAGATGGAGTGGCAGAAATGGGACAGTCATCTCAGACCTTGAGATGAGAGCCATGTGATCTGTATTCTTGCTTCATGAATAAACATTAAATAACATATTTTTATCAAGTAAAATTTCTACAATGAATTCTCTTTCCAGTTAAAGAACAGCAGAAAATGGTCTCCTGATAGACTAAATACATTTTGCTATAAATAATGGTTGTCACTTTTATAGTTATTTGCTCAAAATCTTTCTTCATTACTACTTGTGAACTTCTTCAGATCAAGGACCATGTTTAATTTATCTATTTGTCCCTGGTGTCCAGTATAGTATCTTGCACATATAAATGCTCCATAAATATTTATTTATATACATGAACAAATCAATGAAATGTAGCCCACTACAGGCTACATTTGGATATTGGATATTGTACTGTGTATCTTGGGAATTCCAGACTCTGCCTAATAGTTTTCTTCCACCTAGGGCAGCATTTTGTAGGTCTGTCTGTTGTCATTCATCTACTCAGCACCGGGGATTCAGAAATGGGAATATTGACACAGCTTTTTCTTCATGGAGATTTACTGTCTGGTTTAGTAACTGACAGTTCCCTAGACCTGAGATCATAAATATTCCTTCTATGATCCTGTGTCCTGCGTTCATCTGCAGTAAGGGTATGGTATAGAGAGTGCATGATGGGAATCACCTGGATTGATTTGACTCCTGGTTTTAGCACTTTGGGCTGTGGTTTGCGACACCTATGCATGTTATAGCTATTCCTGCTCTTGCTTTTATAGCCGCACAAAACTTGACTAATTTAAATTGAGCTTAAAGAAGTACCATTTCAAATAGATTAAAGTAAGAATTACGGACATTCATTAAATGAATATAGTTTATTACTTTCCAATATAGTACATATTTATATATTAATTAAATAGATTGAATAAAAGTAACATAAGTTAATCAAAAATACAATTGCAAATAGTTTCAGGTTATCTAATGTATTATACAAAATAGTTCCCTACTATTTAATGGTTAACTTATAGGTGTATGTGTTTGCCTATGATATTTATAATAGAGAACACTTGTATACACGTAGAAAGTTTCTGGAAAGATACACAGAAAACTGCTAACCATGGTGTCTCTGGAAATTATTGGCTAAAATTTTAGTGGTAGAAAACTTTTCTTTTCATTTTGTACACTTCTTATAATTTAAGTTTTTCTACGTGTATTATTTTTTAATTATAAGCAACTAGTTTAAGTTGAAAACATATCAATATATAATAAAGTGCTTTACCCCCAAAATGGAACTGTATGCAGCTAATTTAAGGATTTTTTTTTTTTTTTGAGGTCTTGATTAAAATACACATATGTGTTCTAGAGTGGAGAATGTTTTCTTGAAAACAATATTCTGAAAATTCACAGGAAGAATCTTTACATTTTTCACTCTTAAAAGGTTTATATACAAATTACATTTAGTGAGTACTTTTTTTTTTTTTTTTTTTTTTGAGACAGAGTCTCGCTTTGTTGCCCAGGCTAGAGTGAGTGCCGTGGCGTCAGCCTACCTCACAGCAACCTCAAACTCCTGGCTCGAGCAATCCTCCTGCCTCAGCCTCCCAAGTAGCTGGGACTACAGGCATTCGCCACCATGCCGGCTAATTTTTGTATATATATTAGTTGGCCAATTAATTCCTTTATTTTATAGTAGAGACGGGGGTCTCGCTCTTGCTCAGGCTGGTTTCGAACTCCTGACCTCGAGCAATCCGCCCGCCTCGGCCTCCCAGAGAGCTAGGATTACAGGCGTGAGCCACCGCGCCCGGCCTAGTGAGTACTTTTTTTAAACAGTGTTCTCTATTCTCTTAGTGAAGGTACAAAACTGCTCATTTCTACTGGGGGATCTATGATAACACCGCTTTGTTCATCTAAGTTTCAAAAAAATTTAATTAACTGAAAAATCCTTGGGAAAGATAAATTCTACAATATTCTGATCTATATGGAAACAAATCTGTCTACTAAAAAAAGCTTTGTAGTTTTAACTGCAACTTTTGGATTTATACTTAATCTAGGTATATCAGATAGCTACTGATGTTTAATAAATCACTCTAAAACCCAGTGGCTTAAAACTACCATTATTTACTCTCACCTGGATGTCTGCATGTCAGCTGGGTTTCCATGGGTCCGGGCTGGGCTCAGCTGGGAGGCTTTACTTGAGGCTGAGGTGGCGAAGGGCAGTTCTGTTTTTTTACAAAAGGCTGGTGGACTGGCTGGGGTGACCCTGCTTCTCATATCTCTTATTTTCTTGAGACCAGCAAGCTATCCAGAGCACATTTTTATTGTGATAATGGTGCAAGAGAGGGAGCAGAAACACTCAAAGCCTAGGATCAGGACTGGCATACTGTCACTTCCTTCCATAAAGCAAGTCACACGGCAAAGCCAAAAACTCAAGGCACAGGGAAGGACACTCCCTCATGATGAGCAGGCGATAGTGTGGATGAGGAGAGGTGAAGAATTAGAGCCAGCAAGTCAATCTGCCACACCAGATTAGATCATGGAAAACTGGGGGGAAACTAGGGTAGAGATTACAATGATCTGAGTTTTGTGGATTAATAGGAGGTTGAAAATAAGGAATAGGATCTCTTAGGTAGAAGAAATGGAAGTGTCTGTGAGAGGAGTGCTGAGTTTTTTTTTTTTAAGCAAAAGGAGCTGGAAGAGCTGGAGGGCTGACATGCAATGGAATACAGTGAGGAAAAGAGCCGTGTGTAGGGTGAAGGTTCAAGAAGAGGCAAACGAGACTACAGTCATCCTTCAGCGTCCGAGGAGGCTGGTCACAAGACCACTGCAGATACCAAACTCCAGGGATGCTCAAGTCCCTGATATAAAAGGGCCTCATATTTGCATATAATCTAGGAATATCCTCCCTTATACATTAAATCACCTCCGGGTTACTTATAATACCTACGTAAATGCTATGTAAATAGTTGTTACACTGTGTTGATTTTTATTTGTATTATTTTTTATTGTTGTATTGTTATTTTTTATTTTTATTTTTTTAAAAATATTTTAAATCTGTAGTTGGTTGAACTTGGGGCTAGGAACCTGCAGATACAGAGGAACAACTGTATTAAGAATGTCTAGGTGGATGATCTTTGTAGTGAACACTTATTTTAGTTAAATAAAACCAGGGAAATGATTCTCATCCACCGAATTTGTATACTTCCAAATTATGCAATAGTCAGTCATTCCTCAGTATGGGGGTGGGCGTTGGTTCCAGGACACCCTCACCCCCTCCTACCCTATGGATACCAAAACCCACGGATAGAAAAGTCACCCCTCCATATCTGTTTTTCAATCCAAATTGGGTTGAATCTACGGATATTGAACCACAGATATGGAGGGCCTACTGTATTTATTGGGAAAAAATGCACTTATAAGTGGCCTCAGGCAGTTCAAACCTGCATTATTCAAGGGTCGACTGTAGTAGAGTGTAAGACAATGAAGTATTTCTGCACTGGGTTTAGGTTTGGCCAATGTATTATAGATATTCTGGGATTTTGGTGTCCTAAATCACATATAATTATAGTATTTTGGGCAGAGAAGCCATAATCACCATTTTTAAAAATTACTATTTGGTTAATTTCATGCTTGTCATTAAAATTGGTCCTTTAATCAAAGTGATACCTTACACCACTAAAAAAGAATATTTCTGAGTAAATTCAATATTTGTTAGTTTACAATATTCCATGAGGTGCTACCTATTTGGTACTTAATACAATAACATAATTTTTTCCCCTTTTGATATGAATTAGGTAAGGAATTTCTTCTGCTTCTTCAGTTCTGGATCCAGCGGAACCATATACATTTGCCTTTTTTCTTTGCACTGTTTAAAAATATACTTTATTTCTAAGAAAACAGCTGTTGTCTTTAAGTCTAAGTGCATGCACAGCAATGTGGTCATTAGAATGGAGACAAATGACCTCATTAATAGAACACACCTCTCCTCAAAGGAACTGATCCTAGGGCTTATATTTTTTGATATATTCTGAGAAGATCTCTTTAGACTACTGGGTAGTCTTCCTTGTTTCATTGCTATTGTGATTTACACCTTTTAAAACAATCAGTTTGATAATATTGCTTCTACATGTGCGAGCATATGATTCTCTGGCCTGTTTAGCAGATAAATTCTCTTTATTCAGAAGCTTGAACCCATTCTATTAAGTGAAGTAACCCAAGGATGGAAAAACAAGCACCACATGTACTCACCAGCAAATTGGTATTAACTGATCAACACCTAAGTGGACACATAGGAATAACATTTATCGGGTGTCGGGCAGGTGGGGGGAGGGGATGGGTATATATATCTATATATATCTATATAACGAGTGCGATGTGCACCAGCTGGGGGATGGACACTCTTGACGCTCTGACTCGAGGGGGGAGGGGGGACAGTGGCAATATATGCAACCTTAACATTTGTACCCCCATAATATGCTGAAAAAAATAAATAAAAAGAAAAAAGAAAAGAAAACAAGGGAAAGCTTGACATGGGCTAAGAAAATTGGCTTTGCAACTGTCCTTTTGTCAATCCAGCAGGATGTATGGGACTCATGACAGTTTTTGTTTTTGTTTCCATCCTCGTTCTGTGCAGGCTGGGAAGTGAGGATACCCGTTTCGAGGTGAGCATGGCCAACGTCGGATGCGAAGTGCACCGTTTCGATCCCAGCGTCAAGTCGGCTCATGCTCTGGAGAGTCAGCGCCTTTGGCATCACCGTCTGTCCATCGACTGGCGGGACCCCCATCCAGCTGTTGCCGCCCAGAAACCACACAGCAGCACCAGGAAACTGGGCAGCATTTTGAATGAATTTGGGCATCATAAGGTGAGACTTTTCATTTGATTTCATAGTTAAATAAAGCGAACAGACCCGTAAACTTTTTTTTTAAAATACAAACCAATGCTGATAACAGCATTGGTATTGGATAGTTGAAGGTGCAGTTTTAATCTTACTAATCACTCAAAATTATTTATAGAGTCAACTCTGTAAACATAAAGATTTGGCAAAGATATAAATATTTAAATTGATTTGGAGATTTTAGTTGTTGTTGGGTAATGCTGAGGTCTTGGCCAACACTGAGCAAGAAGACTGAGAAACTTACTTCTGGCATAGGCTGAAGAATACCATTTCTGTTTGGCAATTATTTAATATTTTCAGAAAGAGCAAACTACTTATTGTTGACCTCTAATACAAAAAAGAATCAGAGCCGGGTTTATGTTTGCAGGAGATTGCTTGTGCATTGTTTCTCACTGTTGTAACATATGTCTCATGCTAAGCACTATTTTGCACCTCTGGGTTCTTAAAGTTTGGAAAATATGTGTAGCTTTGATAAAAATCTACTTTATAAAATTGAATGAACATTATGTATTTCATATAATTATGTCAAAGGATGTCAAATCTCTATAAATATTTTATTGTAAATGGACAGCAAAAGTGGAACTGAATCTTTGCACTGTGTTCCTTGAAAGCAATTTTTAGTGTAGTATACCCAAACTGACTGCATTCCGTAGGCAGATACTAGAGTTCTCCTGAGTGTTGTTGGCTTGTGTTTGATCTCTAACCCTGGTTGGGTTTGGCCTATGATGGCCTATTGTTCCCAGCCAGAGATGCCATGTAATTTAGAACTTGTCAGAATGTGAGTTTATAGTTGAGAAATAATGTGTATGGGACTCAATTTTAAAGTTGAACTGGCTTTTTGATCTTTAGTAAGAAGTTCTTTAATGAGAGGCCTACATTATTATTCCTCTTTCTCCTCCCCCCTTCTGCTCCTCCTCCTCCTCTTCCTCTTCCTTTCCTCCTGCTCCTCTTGTTGTCCCTCCTCCCTCTCCTCCTCCTTCTCCCCATTTCCCCTTCTTTTTCTGTTCCTCCTCCTCCTTCTTTTAAACCCCTTTAATTAGACAGCCCAAGCTTCTTCAAGAACAACTTCAAAGAATTTGCTGTTCTTTTAACATGTGATTAACTATTGATTTATATTTTGCCTTTCCACTGATAGTAACTAGCATTTAATAGTCAGGATCCTTAATGAAACATATATATATATACACACATACACATACATAATTTTTTTGGGTAAAATCCCAGAACAGAACCCTTTTTAATATGCTATTGATGTTTAAAATATGTGTGGGAAGAAGCAGGAGCATTTTTCAGAACTTTATTTTTATATTATTTTATGTTTTTGCTACTTGTTACCTTTGTAGACCTGTTTTTTACAGCTGAAAATTACAGGCCTGATTCTCTAACATGTCAACTCTAGCTTATTCAGTGAGCCAGCTACTTATTCTTTGTGTGCAGTTAGGACTCTTGCTGCTCTCCCTTAATGCTCTTTATTTCCTGGCCTTCTCCAGCCGCACTCTTCAAAGAAAAGAGTAGGGAAAGAGGGAAGACTCAGTGCCATTTTGCTTTTTTCAATAACATTTTAGCAAAAGATTTGGTAAGGATAGGGGTAAAATATGACTTTGAAAAATGATCTGTGGCTATAACTTATCTAACCACATTTCTGATGGAAAATGTGTTTTTGGATAACAAGGTATGTACCTGAATTGTGTTTGTTTAGCTCCATGGGATCTGCAGGGGGCGAACCTTTACGCCCCCAGCTTGGAGCCTTTTGCAGCACTGCTCCTGAGACAACAGAAATATTTACAATAATACCTAAAAAGAAGGAATGCTTTAAAGGATTGCTGCTATTTATAAGGCTACTTATTTTTATTAAAAACATTCACAGTGAAAGTGATCAGGCTCAGAATCGCCAGGTATGCATTTGCTGCTCTAAAAAAAAATTTTCCTTCTTGAAGAATTTAAAAGATACTGATATTCTTTCATAGTGATTTTTTTAGGGAATGCTTTAAAACAAAAACAACAAAAGCTAAACCCACCGGCGAGTGATTGCTTCCATTAGGAACATGCTTCTAGGAGCTATGTGGTGCCAGATAAAAGGAAATGTTGTTTGTGGCCTGTAGCAAGCATGGTCTGTTTTCATTTTTCTGCATGTACAGACATTGGTAAATCGGATGTGGCTGTGTCAGGGGAAGCAGATAGGAAAAAACACAATAACAAATGTCAACACTTTTTGCCTGGCCTCCTTTTTGACTCCTTCATTCTGAAAGTGACTGTAGAAACCAAAGCACTATTAGTTGTTTTCTTTTTACTTCATGACTTTGAAATATCTCATATTGTTTTGTAATAATTTCAATGTTAGGGTATTGTTATTCTCTTTATCCACACCTAGATTTCAGCTCATTGAGCCAAAAATATGGGCAAAAATGAAAGCAGTATTCTGAGAGTGACAGAAAGATGCATTTGGCTTTTGCACTGCTTTTAAAACTCTTTGGTAATTTTAACTTCAAACTATAAATTAAAAATAACCTTTTGAAAGCATCAGGCTACAGCAGCTGCATCAGCAAAACCATGTGGACCAGGAGCCCAGTCTGTCAGGGAATGATATCACCTGGATCCCGCATTATTTGAAATGATTAACTGTCTACTCCTCACTGGAGTGCTTGTTGCTATTAACTAAGCATAGGAATTTTTCCAGAATGTCACCAGACATATTGAATCTGAAGTTTCTGCTCATATTAATCATAATGTATGCTTTTCTCCTAAAGTCTTTATTACACACAAAGAGTGTCCTAAATGATCCAAGCTGGTTAATGAGACGTTATAACAATTATTATTACTTCCAGTCTTAACCATGCTGCTGCTATATGAACAACACAGCTGCCAGAGAATTTACCTTTGTAAGCTCATTAATCTAGGTTTGAAGAATGGGTCCTCTTAGTGGCTTTTGGCATTGGTATAGTCACTGAACCTCTCTGGTGCTTAGCTGGATTGTCAGTGAAATGAGGACAATGATAACTGCCTAAATTGTGGATTGTTTCTTTGAGAAGTAGATATGAGAACACAATGTGAAAAGTCTCCCTCAGAATGCCTGATGTGAATTAGTCACTCATTTGTTTTCAGTAATTTCAAAGGATTTTTTTTTTTAATTTTAGGAAATTTTATGAAAAATCTTGTCTTTTTTCTTTCTTTCTTTGTTTTCAGGGAAAATATATCAGAGACCTCTCTGGAAATTGCTAACTGCACCTAATTCCAGTGAAGATTTTTTTAATGAAAGCTTTGTGTGAAGCTGAAGGGCAACTGGTCCTTCAAATATGGTCGTAGAGAATTATTATTATATTAATATACACTGCCTCGGGGCACTGAACAGTTTTCTGGCGCATGTATAGGAAGTGAATACCGTACTGTATAGAGATTAAATACACTGCTGAGGATTAACTGGGCTCTGTTCCACACAGAGTGGATGTAGACTGCGGGGGCTGGGCGGACGACCCCGGGAAGCTGAACTTCCTGCGGGTCAGGCCGGGTGACAGGTCCTTTGCCTACTCTTGTCACCACCCTGGCGGCAGCTGAGTGTCTGCGTGGACCCTGCCAGGACCGCCAGTTCCTGTCTCCCTTGTCTGGGAGCTCAGGGGGCTCACCATTGATTCCAGAACGTCAGTTTCGTTGTGTGGTCTCTACCATGTTTGAAAGAATGTGGGCTTTGAAATTAAACGACAGAAAGATCCCATTTGTTTCCTTTTTGCATATTATAATAAATTGGCGAATATAAACAAGATACTGATACTGCCCTCAATTGGAATGTTTGTTGGGAATAATACACTTTGCTGCTGAAGATGGAAAATAATACACCCTTTTAGGAAGAACATTCAACCATCATGGGTGTATATCATGTCACTTTTTATTTCCAGAAATCTTTTCTGCCTTAAATTCTATTTTATCTGATATTAATTCCACCACACCAGCTCTCTTTTCATAAGTATTTATATGAATACCATCCTGAATTCCTTTATTTTCATTCTCTTGATACAGTTTTAGTTTATGTGTGGCAAATAAGACCAATGTATTCAGTATATGTCTGGATTGTGTTTTTAAACCCAATCTGATGATCTGTCTTTATACAGGTGACTTTAATTCATTTATATTTATTGTGATTATTGGTATTGGGGGGCTAATTTCTACTCTTTTAAATTGGGCCTTTGGTTTTCTGTTCTTTTTTCCTTTCTTCTTGTCAAAGCTTATATTTTTATTTTTCATGGTTAGCTTTAAATTTTAAATGTATATAACTATAAAATTTAAAACCATGTAAAATTATTCAATATTTCCATATTCCTCCCAAACATGACAAAAGATCATAGCAAGTTAACTACCCATTGAACATGGGCTTCTACATTATTATCTGGAGTTTTATCCTGTTTTTATTTTGAAAAAATTTTAAATGCAAAAGTTGCTAGCATAAGACAATGAACTCTCATGTATTTTTTTCAGTGAGATTCACCAATTATTAATATTTAGCCACATTTGCTGGCTCTCTCTCTCCCCCCTTATGTATGCAGAGATAATTTAACCATTATCTCAGCAAATTAAAAAATTTATAAAACTCATTGGAAAGGAATGGATGAATAGTTCCGTAATATTATACATATATCTATATATGTGAATTTAATTCATTTATACGTATTGTTTTTGCTGATATATTTGAACTAATTGCATCTTACTTTGGTATATCTTAGTCCAAGAGCTGGCATCATAATTAATGTGGAAACAGTGGAAATATCCTTATTAAAGTTGAGGGAGAATGAAGATGTTTATCATTACCATTTTTAAAAAGTAGATTAGAACTCCTTAGGAAAAAAAAAACCAAACAACTTCTCATTTTGAGATAATTATAGATTCACTTGCAGTTGTAAAAAATAATACAGAAATTCCATACACCTTTTACCCAGTTTGCCCCAGTGGCAAACCCTTGTATGATATCACAATACTGA